CTACTACAAAAAATCTGTCAAGTTTCAGTCAATGTACTGTCATACTGTGTACTATTCAGCTATTTGCTAAACACAACGTCACACGCTTAAGCAGATCCTGGTTTATTATCTTAATGTGCTGCGCTCAGGAAGACATGCTACAGTCAATGAGAAAGATAATCTATTTTTAAAAATGAAATAGTGGGTTGGATATGCCAATAGATTAATCACTTTTCACATCAAATCTATTTCTCTGAAATATAAATACTTCCTATAGTGTGCTAGCACCCTGTGACAGCAGAGCTGATGAATTAAATGTGAATTAAATGTGCATGATTGCCTCAGGATCTGTGCATTCTAAGAACTTTGTGAGATTAGCAGGTATGTGAAAAAATGGTCAATAGAGATTGAAGCCAGTTCTTTTGCTGGTTTGAATCCCTTTTTTCAGAGGGGCTCTTTCCTTCTTTTGTGAACATTCATTTGAAACCTTTGCAGTGTGCCAGTATAAAAAAAAATATTATGGAACATTTACATAATAAGCGAGTCACCCATCCTGTCATTTTCCACACCCCCATTGTCATTATTTAAAATCCTTATGCTTGAAGACTAGTTTTTCTCCCTCCCAACCCAAATTCTATTTTTGGAGTAGACTTGTAATTGTGTGTTTGTTAATATAGCTGTCTGTTGCCATGAACAAAGTGAGGTAACCAATTTTCTATTACAGCTTAGCCACAGAGTTAAGGACTGTAAAACAGCTAGCACTTACTTGAATGCACCTTTTATTTTTTTGTTTGCTTTATATTGTTTTATTTTGTTCTCCTATCAAGCCAAACAATATTTAGGGTAAATAACTGATACAAACTAACTTGTATTCTGATAATCTGGAGTTATTCCTAGCATTACAGTTTGTATGTGGCTTTTGTATTTAATATTCAATGCTCAGAATTTCTCCATTTAAACTTGGCAAGAATTTTCCTGGAAGCAAATTGAGAATTAATGTGTAGGAAACATTTTTTAAATGTCTTATTTTCTATCTCAGTATTATTTGCTAAGAAAACATTCATATGATTACAGATTGTGTTATATTGTTGCATCCAGTGCTCAAAATGTTTATATTATTGATTTATATTTATGCACTTTCAAAACCTTACAGTCTATACAGTCTATACAGATCACTGTAATTAATTTTATTCATTTACCATCATTGCTAAGGTTTATACTGCCATTACAGTTTCTTCTAATTCTGGTATTTTTGACCATCTGTCTTAAACTCTTAGGCTATTTTTTAATAATTTGTATGTCCCAGAATGGATGAATGATTTTAAAACATGAGACAGATTCATAATAAGAACCATAATGGCTACCTTGAAGTTAGCAAGTTACGGCAGTATGTCTGTGACAATTCAGTCCATCAAAGTTCGGGCTCAGAACGTTAAAATCTTCAGTACCTTACATCCTTAACAAATGCATTATTTATAACTTGAAACTAACAGTTTCAACAAAGCTGAAGGTAAACACAGAATCACCAACGGGAGCATGGAGAGGAGCATGAGATTTATAATATGTAATGATATTTTTTTGGAAAGGCCGTTTCAGGCATTCCTGCCCTAAAACCAGCAGCATTAAGAACCATGAAAAAATATGTATAATTCATACCAGATGTATTTTGTTGATTTCTGTCATGATGAGATTTCTCCATTGCTTTAGATACTTGTTCAGAAGCCACATTGCACATAATTTTTTTTTTTTCCCATAATGACATTCGTTTTATGTGGTAATAATGTAAAAAAAAATGTTTGTTGCATGCTGAGCAAAAGACAGCTAAGCCTTAGGATAGAGGTACCTCATCCTGATCACCCTCTAAGGAGGGATAAAAGAAGATTTAAATATAAATATTTTTAAAAAGAACAGTACAAAATTAATGAACTATGTGGAGATAAGTTTTGCCAAGTTATTTAGTTTCTCTGAGTGTATAAAAATACATCTGCAGTTTGTCAAGAAATCAGAAAAGCTGGACTAAGTAATCCCAGCACTGCTGAATGGAGGATTCAGCAATTCAAGGGTCCCAGGGCAAAAACTGAAACAGACAAAAGCTGAAACTATGACTTTACACACATTGACAAGTGTGTTAATCTGAGTGTATTTGTTGCTGTCTTTCTCTCGTCTCAACAGGGTTCTTCAGCTGTAGCAGAAGCCACAGCTTCACTCACTGCATAGAGAATTCCAGCTCTTTCCTCCCAGGTTTCAGTGCAGACATAAGCCACATTGCCCACATTACAACTGGTAATAAAAATCAAGCTGGGATATCTTACAGAGTGATTTGGAATTTAGCAGATTATAGTGACAGTTTTTTGATTATGCATCAACTCAGGAAATGATTCCTGCTGAAGATTTTGCATAAGCATGTTTGAACACATGCTGAATAATAAGTATTTGTCCAGGAGATTTTAAAAATCAGTATCTTGCCTTCTGACTGAAAAGGTTGTTTTGGGGGGGGGGGGTTGGTGGGCTTTTTTTTCCCCACAAACTTTATAGTATTACCAGGTGAGGCAAACTCCACCACTCTGTGCCAGCGCTCACCATATTTTTAGCTCATTCCAGTTACAATTGTGTATTACCATGACACTGGAAAATATTGATAATGTAGCACCAGGAAGAAATATTTGCCATTAACACTGTTCTCTTTGGTTGTGTCTTTTTACTGACCTATGATTCTGACAAAGGAGCATGCAGAGCATTGGACTGTAAATTGAGAAGGAGGGATTCAGTAGAGTCAAGCCTTTAACTCATTGTATGATGATGACTAGGACCCTGACAAGTCTCCTGGCTTAAAATTAATGGGATTGTCCACTTTAAAGTGATTTAAAAATTATAAGTGGAAAATTGCATGTGGGGACGTAGTAGTCATGAATTAGTTTTGTTGTTCTGTTTGAGAGCCAGAACACCAGAATGCACAAATGCTTCATATTTGCTCGTCATTAATGAACGTCTTCACAGCCTGGAGAAAACAAAACACCTTATTATCATTATCTGATATTTTTATAATACATAAAGTGTACTTGCCTTTTGTTAATACATAATAAATACACCTGCACAGAAGCTAGTCTTTGGCAGGTATGAATAATAATCTTAAAGCCATTTAGAATAGGTATAAAGCTCGTAGCTATATGCCTGATGTTTGTTTCCTCATTAGCAGAGTTGATTTGAAAGGCAGATGTTCTTCTTCTTGAAAATCTGTGATACACCTCTAAACTCCCATATTGTTTTTACCTACAGAAGAAATTAGAACTTCCTCCTATTGTCTTTGTCGTATGTCCCATCGTCCCTAACTGACGCATATTGTATAGTCTACTTGTTTCAAACAAGGTTATGGCGTTTTCAAGATGAAACTGTTTCTAAAACTAAAAAATGGCCAAAATCCAAAGATTATTATCACCTCATCCATTCCTTGCAGTGTTGCATGAGAGAATTTTCCATATCACAGGCACTCTTTCTGTGGACTTTTCTTTGATTTCGCACTAGAAAAAGATATTATTGTGGCACTTTGTTATGATTGCCTTTAAAACAATTTTTTTTTTAAAGGGTGTTGTTATTCACTGGCTATGATGTTTTGAATGTTCTAAGTATCATTAGAGCTGAAAATCATATATTCTGATCTTGGTGTGCAAGGAAATCATAATTATGTAAAGTTTGTGATGAAGACAGGGCATGTCCCAGCTTATTACGTAAGAAATCAATTTTTTTAGCAGGCCATGTATAGCAATGTTGAAGGGAAGTTCCTAGCTAGCTTTACTCTAACCAGATAAATTCAACTCTTAAGTTTTTCGCAAAAAAAAAATTTCTTTAAAAAAATAATTGTGCTAATTGCCTGGAAATATAAATATTTGGGTGCATAGAAAATTTTACAAGTAAGTCAAATGAGAATGAAAAGGCCAGATGTATATAGAATTGCTAAGTTTTTGGTTGATGATCATTCAGGCATTCTCTCTATCTTTGTAACAATACCAAAATAAGAATGTAGCCAAAACAATTGTGATTAATGTATTCTGAAGGGAAATAGCTTTTTTATGAACCATAGAATTAACCAATTGAGTCTATTGCCATATCTGTCCCAGCATACAGTACGCTGTTTTTTCTCAACGCTGTATTAGACATTTATTGATGTGTAAAATAATGTTTTCAATTACATTATATCTGCAGGATAAAATTATCAGAGTTGCAGTTTTTAGGTCATTAACCAATCACTAATTCAATAACTCCAGTAGTTATGCAAGAAGGAACTTAGTTTGGGGACATGCTACTCCATATTTATCAATAATGCAGTTTCATGGACATTTTGATATCATAAGGTAGAAAAAACGACCACACAGCAGTATTATGAATGCGTAGACCTCGAGTTGTTTTGGTTTTTAATTCTCTTCTTTTCATGGACCATATAGTATATATATTATATAATCTTCAGTTTGTGGTGGGTGTATTCCAAGTACTAATGATAGTAATAATACATGCACATATTTGTGAGAACATCTTATCTGAGTACTGGAGTAGGTTGCCCAGGTAGGGTGCAAGGTCTACCTCTTTAGAGGCATTCAGAATGCATCAAGACATGGTCCTGGGCAACTGGCTCTAGGTGGCTGTGAGCAGGACGGTTAGACATGGTGACCTCCAGTGGTCCCTTCCAACCTCAACCATTCTGTGACTCTGTAACTCTGTAAGACAAGTAGTCCAGTAGTTCTAATTTCTAAAATTTTAACTAGTAGTGACAGTGGCTTTACAGCTATTTTCTTCAGTCTAGCTCTAACCAACTTTTACTTGCCACAGGTTTAGCTGATATATACTGTCCATGCAAAAATCACCTTGAAAGGATTCCAAAATCAAGAACTATATTTATGGTTGGGAAACCAGTTTGGGATTTCTTCTCAAGACTTAGAAATGTTAAGTCGAATGAAAAAAAAAAAGGAATACTATTAAAATTTGTGTTCTTCACTCTTAATTTAATTGTATTCTCCACTCCTTTTCAGGGTGCGCAATGATTTTGACGTGCTTACAAACCGGTTGATTGGAAGCCATGGCTATTGTACTCAGGTAGGTTAAGCATGTGGTCTTTGGGGATGTCATACAACCTCTGCGTGCAGAACTGTGAACTGGCCTCTGGAAAGAGATGGCATTTGTTATTTTAAATTTCTAATGTTTTTCATTTTTCCCCATGATGTCAAAAACTTTCATCCTTTATTCTTTTTTCTTTCTTGTGTTTTGGCATATCGTTAGCTTTGCTTTCAGAGCCTCTGCTTTTTGGCATGGTTTTCTGGTCCATGTGTGTCTGTACCTATATGTGCATGTGCTGATACTTCTCTCATCCACCTCTTTCATCCTCCTTACTTGATTTCAGTGCTGAGATGCCACTGAGACTGCAAACTGTGTTTCCTCCCTGCCATTTTGGAAAGGTGACTGGGGTTGCATGCCTGCTAGTACAGCTCCTCTGTAAATGGTCATTTCCCAACTAACTGCTGGGAAACTCCTCAAACTGGAAATACTGATGACTTATAGATGTGTCTAAAAGACACGTAGTGCATGTTCTTCTCTTCTACTGTTGCTAGAAGACTTTTAGACTGTGATTACACAGTCATTTGTCAAGAAGGTCAAGTGGAACATCACTGGCAGATTAGGTGTCCTGAAAACACCAGGAAGAGCCTATAAACTTTGGGGTGTCCTTCAGGAGAAACATGGGGCTATAAATGTGTGCAGTATTTTTCAAATCATACATCAAGTTCAAACTGGCAATACCATTGCTATTCAAGTCTTTGGGTATGGTAATATGGACTATTTTTTCTGGAAACATTCTTGTTATTTTCCATCATGTTTCTTGACATATGTTATTTATTAGTAGTTAGCTTGTTCATTGCTGTAGCACATTCTGCTGCTAGATGTTGTTACATGCTGTTACATCCTAGCTTGCCCTTGTGGGATCTTACACAAACAACTCGTCTAGTATCTCTGCTCCTTAAACTTTACACACATTCACAAGGGCACATGCACACCCCTCCACCCTCTCACACGTATTTAGACACTGACACACCTGTATTTCCAGTCCAATTGGAGAAGAAGTAATCAACAATCTGTTATAGTAAGTACATTAGTGATGAGGAGCAGATGTGAAACCATATGGGTGAATGTCTTACTGAATGAGTCTTAAATTCATCCAGGAATAATCAGTGAGAAAGAAATAATCTTTTAACACATCTTGTCCAACATAGAAAATTCATCACTAAGCACATGCAGAAATATCAGATAGTACTGTATAGACTATTAATTTACATCATTCATGCTGTAGCTTTAATTGTAGAGCAAAAGGGACACCAAAATGTTTGAATTTTTTAAAAAAACAACAGAAGGTTGAGAGCAGTCTGCCTCTGGAAAGCTGAACACTGAAAACTCTGCTAATATTTTCTCATTTGACTTTGGGAGTAGACTTTAACCTAAAATTTCAGGGGAAAAAAAAAATGTAAGCAATCCTAATCCTTACGCTAAATTTAAAGCCACCACAAAAATAAGGGTCAGGTGCATGTGTAACTATTAGTCCTGAATTAATCTTCTACTGATATCTGGTAGAGACAAGATGTTTACTGGGATTTGCTTATTTGTTTGTTTTTCGACATGTCACAAACAGGAATTGGTGAACTTGCTTTTGACTGGAAAAGCTGTGTCCAATGTTTTCAACAATGTGATAGAGCTGGACTCTGGAAATGGCAATATCACAATTTTGAAAGGTATCACAAGCCGCAGTGATATTGGTTTGCTGTCGCTCTTTGAGCACTATGATGTTTGTCAGGTATGCTTTCTATTATTTTGATTTTAATTAAAAGTGACACAATTACATTTTAAATTAGCTTGGAGTGAGTATATCAGCTAAGAAATTATGGCCTTGATTCATTTGCTCACTCAGAGGCGTCTAGTGCTTGTTTTAGAGCGTGGTCACACTTCTGGATGAAGGTTCTGTGTTACTGCTGCCACCCCTTGGTAAATGACTTGAGTGATCTATAGATTCTCAAGTCATACATGCCTGTATCATTTTTTAACTGATCTCCTAAAGAAGGAGTCAGCTTAAACTAACACTGGTATTTAAGTGGCTGCCATAGAGATTTGTATAGGTGAACTAGGAACTGCTCAGTGCAGTCTGTGGGGCTGAAAGCTGCTCAGCAGACTAAACATAATTATGTGCTCTAAGCTGAACAGTCTCCCTTGACTGTATTCACTAGATCTCCACTGAGAGAGATCTAGTGGAGTTGAGACACCTAGCTCACATTTGGGCACCCATGTCTTAGTCATGTATATGTAAGCAGCTGAATCTGGAGCAGAAACTCACCCTAAGAATTTAGTTTTCCACAATTTCCTATGTCATGGGGGACCAGATTGATTGAATCCTCTACTCTATGCTGTAATGGTGGTCATATTGTATTAACAGTTAAAAAAAGGGGGAGGGGAGGCAATTAAAATACGTGTCAATATAATGGGAATTGTCCTTTTAATGTCTTTGAAATTAGTATTTTAATTATAGTAATCATGAAAATTAAAAGGTAGATTAAACATTTTAAATTTTGACAGCCATTAATTTACCTCTGGAAAACCTTGTATAAGGATTTCAGTGGTTCTCCATCAATAGACATTGTCATCAAGATTGACATCTTTCCAAAAAACATGCTCTTAAACAAGCAGTCTTGTGTTTGATGCAAGGGTATTATTTGAAGTTCTCTTGCTTGTGGTAGATGCTAGATTAGATAATTGTAACAGTCCCATTTGGATTTGCAGCCAGTGCCTCTACCAACATTTGAAAGTGATTAGCAAAGAATTTGTTTGTACTGATCTAATATAAATGTGTGACTGAAAGCAAAGCTTGATTTTTAACTGTTTTCCATATGGCTAAAGTCAGTAATGTTTTTCTGCTACTGACAGATTATGATTTTTGTTATTCTTAACTAATGAAGTCCTTTATTCACAAGATTATAACAAGGCTTAAATTCAGTCAAGGCAGCATATCATTGTATCCAAAACAGATTATTTAATTTGGAACAAACTGGAATAAAAATAAATTAGCTTCTGTGTCTAGTTCAAGTTCCTTGTTCTTTTCTATGAGCAATGTAACATTTAAAGCCTAAAAAAAAACCCCCAAAAATGGTTATGCACCATGATAGCATTTTTTTCATTTTCTTGTGAGGAAAATGGCATCTAGGTAGCAAAATGGTAAATTAGGTCAGTGCAGGCAGGAGCTATTTCTTTCCCATTTTCCCTCTAAAAATAAAAAGTTACTCAGAGAATCAGACACCATCTTCCACTTATTCTACAAATTATACAGTGAGGGGGGTCTGCTTTTTCTACTACTGTGCTCTTGCAGGAGCTGGACTCACAGGCAGTGATCTGTTTTGCAAGCCAGTGACTTAATCTGTTACAGAAACTCCAGTAGACGTATTTTCCTTTTTTTTTTTTTCTTCAGTCTACATTAGTTAGGCATCTGCTGCAAATTGTCTTGCTTTTTATTAAGACCATCTGCAAGTTCTCTGCATTTCAGTTTGTGTGTCTCAGCTCCTGCTGCAGTGCTGCCTTAGGACTAGGACAGAAGTCAGATTCTGGTGGCCTTTGGTCTCAAGTCACTGGAGTCTCCACAGTGGCTTTTTAGCGTGAGAGGACGGATTCTGCTTTCTGTTACAAAGATATAAGTTTAGAACAATTTAGAAAAGATAAATGTCACTGATAGTTTGCGGTAATGAAACTGAGAATAGCATTTGGCTGTAAGTCTTTCAAATTGACTCTTTTCTTCCTCTCAGTGTTTCCGTAAGTTGTGTCAGCATCCAGTTACATTGTGGCTCTGAGGATGGTAACAGAAACCAGTAATGGAAAAGGATTGTCATTTTTGTTTGTTGTGGTTTTTTTTTGTGTGTTTTGGTTTGGGTTTTTTGTTTCCAGGAGTAAGAAAATCCCGAGAATGCTATATGGTGAATCATAGACATTAGAGTTGGAAAATTCCCTTTAGGTCATATCCAGCCAACCTCTCAGGGGATAATTCAGGATATTTTTATGTTCTGTTATATAGCAAGCTTTCTTTAAAAAATATGTATTCATGAAGTTCCTGCCTTTCCGTTTAGCTGTCCATTTATTAGGTGATTGTTGTACATATAACTGTGATCTTACCTTTTGTCTTACATATCTCTACTCTAAAATATGAGAAAGTGCAAATACAGATTTGCAGGTACCTGCAAATATGGAGATTTTAATATCTACTATACAGTTGGTGCTTTAAATATACTAATATTAAATTTGACTGTTCATTTACTTAGTTTCCTCTGATTATCATATTTACTTCTAATCCAGCTTGCCCCTAAACAATTCATCCCATCCGCTAGACATTTGCAAGCTGATGTAACAGTTCCTCCCTTTTTCATCAGCGCATCCTGTCCACCGCTTATTTTTATTGCTCTGCTCTAGATTTCTTCCAACTTACAAATGCATTTAAGAAGAGATATGGAAGATTACAGGCTACATTCTGTAAATCCACATAGAGAAAGATTTCTATACCATTTTATCTCTCTTGTCTAATTAGGTGGAGTATTTGTATATAATCCACAATTTCCTTGGTATGTCTTCTGAGTTGAAAATATCTTGAGGGCATGAGAACTGAATTAATCCTTATGTCAAACTTTGGCAGCAGCACAAGTCAAAACAATATGATCAGCCCCTTTTTCTCCAGTGATTGCCTGAAGAATTCCTCTGTTGCTGATCTATTAATCCCTTTCACTGGATCATGCTGAATGTGTTATCTTTGCTGATTAGAAAAATGTGTGTTTCATGTAATTTGTCTGGAACTGTTATGTCTAAACATCACTCCTAACATATTACCATACTCAGGATGTTTTTGGTAATGTAATTACTTGTTGCAAATTTTGTCACAGTGACAAATGGATTTATTCAGTCTATTCCATATGCAAACGTTTAGTTCTGTATTTGAATGCAAAAAACCTAAAAGTCCAGTTCTGCTACTTTTTGGTAGGCAAGTTACACATCTTTGGATTTCTTTAGTTTGTGCTAAGCCCATATTTAAGCTATATTATTTCCATCTGATTTTACATATTTAACTAAGATACTTAATATTTTATGTTTCCTGGGATCTCTTTAGAGCTCCGAAAGAAATAGCAACATTTCCAAAATCAGGTCAGTCCACGTAAAATTGGTTTTCCAGAGGTTTCCCTCTGTTTGCTGGCATGCAGCATGCAGCAGTTCAGCAGTAGTTTCAGGGGAGTGGAGTCGTTTCTGCAGCAGAGACAAGATCTCGGAGAAAGGGGTGAGGCAGAGAAGTGGGCAGGGCCAATTATAGCAGTTGCGAGTGAGAAAGTCCCTGCATTTGGGTCAGGGTTTTTGGCTTATATGTCACATTAAAATTGCAGGTGAAAAAAACCTGGAATGATGAAAGTTTTCAAAACTTACTGTGATGTTAAAAATAGAAGGAGATGGAAACACATGCTACTTGTATTTATACCAGATAACTTAAGACACTAGCAGTGACAAAAGAGAAAAATAATCTGCATTCGCATCCGAAAAATTTAGAAGATACTATTTTTTTATTATTATTAATGATGATAATAATGATACTAATATCTAACATTTGTGTGTCATTTCCTGTGAATAGGTCTGTGCTTCACAAAAGAGGCAAGTATCATTACCATTTTCCAGGGGGGTAACTGACAAACAAAAGTTAAAGTGTCATCCCAGCAAGTCATCCAATAAGCTAGTGGCTAAACTGGGAAGAGAATATAGGTCTTCTGAATCTGTTATTCTGAAGTAAGTAGGGTACTGGCTGATGAATTTGGCCATCTTTCTGAAATGCTTTTTTGAAATCATTTTAGATATGTGCTGTTGTACGTGAAGTAGTGGAAGTATTCAAGGTTACTTTTGAACCTTATCACTGATTCTTCTTTGTCTTCACTGATTTTCTCCTGCTTTCAACCTGCCCTGCTATGGTAGTTAAACGTACTATTATCTGACCTCCCAAACTCAGCTTACTCTGATTCCTGACGGTGTCCAAGTTTCTGCCTGAGCTGTCAGCATTTCAAGAGACTGATGCTTTATAGTTTTTGCAGTTCTGAAGATGGAGAGAGAATGTGGCATTGGCAAAGAATTTATCCTCATTTTTCCAATTTGTTTTCAAAAAGAGGGACAAACATAAATAAACAGAATTTATGCATTAAAATTCCACAGATGGGAAATATTATCTTTGGTCCTTTTGATGCGACCAGCACACTTTGTACTATAACAAGCCCTACTTGAATTATTAAATCTAGCACACATGCTCTGTCTTCTGGCACCTCACCTGTTTGTTTGCCCTGTGGAACGTCCTTTCTATAACCTTTTTTTGCTGGGAAATATATCTGCTAAACAGGCATCTTTCTCAGTCAGATGGACTGCATTCAAGCCAGGTCATTGGTGGGGTTGCAGAAGGGAAAGGTTTAGAAAGAGGGTTTTAACCAACTCGCTTAAGGAACCAACAACAAAAATATGCGTATGCAAAATGGAAACTGATGGTTGGTTTTAATTTTCCACTTATTTTTCAATAATGGGTATGTGGTGGATACTGTGCTGTGTAGATGCATTCGGCAAGGGACCCTGCTGGTTATGCAAGACATTTTTGATCACCACTGTGGGCAAAAATATGTGATACACACAAATTTAACTGAAACAAGGCTGACAAAGCATTGTCCATTTAAAAAGTCTGTTCTTCATCCCTTGTTTTTACATCTCCCTTTCTAGCCTGAAACCAAAATTTTAATGAAGTCCTATTGTCCTCCTAGTCATTCATGGACAGTTATTTTCCCAGAGGCCAGTCACTGTTGCTGGAATATTGGCATTGATTTCTTGTCAACATCCTTACAAATAAAATAGAATCACAAAGATTTTATTCAAGACAATAAGAACAACAAATCCCACATGTTTAAAAGAGTTCTGCATGCTTTGCAAACAGACAAAATAGAAAATGAAAAGTCAAATATTTTCCACATGTCTCTCTAGATTACAAATACCTACATGTGGATCCAGATTTATCCCACCTAATTTTAGGTCTTTGTAGGTTGAAAATGCTTAGTTCAGTCCAGCCAACTCCCTTTATAGTTTATGAACAGGGGGGCATCTAAATTTTTGCAAGACCTATCTTTTCCTTGTTTGATTTATAGACAGCAAAGCCTAGGGGCCAACCTAAGTTAGAGGGCCTAGAAACAGGTGCTGAAGAGTTAAGTGAACTGAGTCTTGACCTATCTTTGTCATTGCAGTAAAGCAATTTACTGAAGTGAATTATAAAGTCCTTCATGTTTGTTAAGGGAATGGCAAAGTGCTGAAGTCTGAATGAGGGTCTGAATCTCTCTCAACATTTCTCCAACTTGATGGGATGTACCAAAAAAGCAGCAGAATGGGACATGGATCAATAAAAGGTCCTGAGGCTACCTAGTACCCTGACGTATTTCTGCCTTGCCACAGCAGCATAAAAGAACATTAGTCAATAGCCAGTGCTTTCGCAGAGTCTGAGTTAGGGTTGAACGCACACTTCTTTCTGTTCTTCTTCATTAATGTTGCCCTTCTCTCTCCTGTCCTCTCCTGCCGCCACATTCATTATCAGAAAGATTTCCTTTTCTACAACAAGAAGGATTCAAAGCTGCAGAGAAATTATCTAAGGCTGTCACACAGCATTAAGTCATTAAGTTATGCATAGTCTGAATAATAACCTTTGTGAACATTAGTTTTATTTTTCTTAATCTGATTGAAATCAAGTACACATCAGTGGCATTATCTTTACCCTCACAGTGTCCTTTAACTAGATGCAAATATAATAGTATTGTGGCTGACCTGGTATTTTAATACTGCTGGTCAAATAGGTGAACTGAATCAGTGGTGTTCTTGCCCATCCAAGTATATCTGTTTTGACACCATTGACACTTTAGTGTCAACGTTCACTGTTGGAACATTGTTTAATATTAATTCAGTAAAGGTCATTGCAATTATGAGGAAAAAACATTGACAGAATAAACAATAGGTTGTGGCCTTTAACTGTGAAAGCTTTGTAATTATCCTTTTGTCTATCAATCCTACTGGATTCAGTACAATTAGAAATTACACAGTTTGGCAGAACCCAGACCTTTGTGGAATCACATGGGTCTCAGTACTGTATTGTATGATTGCTATGGAAAATAAGCATCTGTTGTATTCATGCAAGCAAACATAAAGCAAGAAATAATATCTAATTTATGATCTAAGTCCAACAAGCAAGGAAGTGAAATTACACTAAGTAATAATAAAGCTCCTGGAGAAAAATGGCATCACACTAGCCATATAAAGTGATCTCCCCTAGCTTTGGTATAATCTTTTCTTCTTTAAATCATAGCCACTGTATAGAAGTGATAATCTAATGTTTGTTTCTGTTCAAGGTAATGGAGATGAAGAAACACAGTATCTACATTATATTTCTTTTTTGTTTCTTTTGGTATACATATGGCAAAAAATAGCCTGTTCAATGACAAAATAAAAGCAAAATGGTGAAGTACCATAAACTCGTTCTGGCAGATACTTTAGAATAATTCTCCAGTAATAAATATTTGTCTGTAGATTTAATTTCACTATTGTGCAAATGCACACTGAAGTCAGATGTGGAAAAAGACCACCCAGAGTGTTGAAAATGAGCCATTTAAAGGTACTTGCTTTTGAAAGGTTGACATTTTCCGAAGTTGAGAATTGTGTCACTGAAATTTGTGAGCATTCTTAAGAGATTTGTAAGGGAGAGAATCAGGGTTAGTGAAGTCTCCATAGGAATTAAAAACATGCAGCACGAAAAGACACCAAATTCATTAATTCATTCTTCCCCTCCTTACTTTTTTTTTTTCCCTGAAGGTTAATGATCATGTTTGAAAACAAATATTTGAATAGTAATGCATTATTACTTTTTAATGCATTGTGTTACTGCAAACAGAAAAAAAAACCCAAAAAATAACTCAAAAAACCAAAAGGGATTCTATTTTTGGTTTGCAAAGAAGAAATACAGCTGTTGAGCCCTTTACAAAAATAATATTTAATAGAAGAGATTCAAGTTACATATCCCTAATTTGCTTTTGGAAGTCAAAGGCAACATTACACTCACAGGGCAGCATACAAAAGCTGGAAGGAAGGGCCCCATTCTCTGGCAAGCACTTTTTGGATAACACACACTCGGAGTTTGAAGGGTTTCATGAGAAGTCAGAACTGGTGTTCATGCTTGTTCTTCCCTGTTCTGCTTCAAGGTCCTGTTATATTCCAGGATCACTACCACCAGCCAACCTGACCCATCAATTGAAGAAGCGCTCACCACTCACCAGCTGGACCAGTTAAATGAGAGCACGCTTTCAGTCTACTCAACAATCGATGCTTCAAGAAGGTGGCAGAAGAATCCTCACAAGGAGGATTGTTCTTACCTTGCCAGTAGCATGGTTCCATAGTATATTTTGTAGAAAAAAATTAGACATGATTTGGGGAATTCAATGGGAGAGAGAATTTCCTTATTGGAAGTTTAGACAAAGAAATATGGAGATATGAAGGAATTTTAACCTTATGGATAAAACCCATTCCATGCTGCCTGACCTTTTCCCATTCCATTCTATTCCCACCCAGAGTGCAGGAATACTCTGAGGTTTCTGGAGAGCCACAAGCCTCTGGAAGGTGATGGTAATAGGACAGAGTGGCCAATTGTTTTGAGAAGCAGACCTGCAGTGACCAGCCAACAGCTGGAACACAACTTGATGTTAAAGGCAGCAGCCAATCCTCACCTAGAATAATTGATGTAACTGAAACAAAGACTTCCCGCTTTTTATAAAAGATGAGGATTTGAACTGAAATGTTTTTAGATTCTCATTATTGTCTTAAAGTTCATGTCCTCACCTTCTTCTGCAAGCATTGTAATTGAAAACTATATATGTTTAGAGAACGTTCCTGCAGACCTTACTCATCTGAACAATTTGTCCTGACTTCAATGAGACTGTTCATGTGTGTAAGAATTGGAGTGGATGTGTGCTTTGAAACACAGCTGTATCTCTCTAATCTTGTTTTGTCAAACATTGTTTGATGAAGCTTGGAAGTTACTTTATCAGACATATGTAGGAAGAACACAATTTTAGAAGACTGGGTGTTCCTTTCTGGCTTTGATATATCTGCATATTAAAATATGTGAGACTGAATCTTTTCATCCGTATCCCTCTAATTTGCCGTCTTTTATTGCATCTGTGTGTTTCCCTTTGTGATAACTCTTGTTATGAGTATTTTTGTGAGCTTCTAAAAAATTTAAGACGAGAATTTACATAAAAACCCAAAGCTGTTTTATAAAAGGCTGTTATAAATAGATATTAGTGAAGTAATGAGTCAGGGAATAGTTACTTAATTAGCTAGAGACTTGTTATATAAGCAGAAATTCTCATTGGGGAGTATAATTGAATTTGTACTCATGTAACACTTCAGATATAAATTCTAAATCTCAAGAATAAAAATCCCACACACTACTTATCACTTAGTTTTGATGCTGTTTAGATTTTTAATTAAAATAGCATATATGTTGGCTTCTTGCGTTTTAGCAATATATTTGATGCACTTGTCTGCCCAAAATGAAGAACTGGGGAATGGGCTGCAGAAGCTGTATCTGTGAATCTATATCTAGAAAGCATGTACAAGATTTTTTTCTGTTAAAAATCTTCCAGTTTCCACTAGTACCCATGGCATATGCTGAGACATTATTTAAATCCCATAGTGGTAAACGTAGAAGTTGCAATAGAGTAGATGATTTCTGTAGATTATATCACCATATTACTATGCAAACCTCTTCAAAACTACCTGAGCCTCTAAACTAGCAAAGTTTCTTTGATCCATGTGTCTGTATTATGGAGGCAGAAACTGATCTCATATTTCTCTGTGCATATATTTGCACACTTGGCTGCCATTCCTTGTTCTGCAGATTAGTAGCATACCGTCAGTGCAATATCTGTTTAGCAAGGGATATGCAGAACTGGTGATAAAGATGGTTATACGCAGCATCCTGCATGGTAGTGATTCTCTCTGTTATATGAATAATAAGCAGAGCTGTTGTCAGAAACATTCCACTGAAAGCAAACAGTTTGATTTTGTTTTTTATTTTCCCTGAGCGATTTATTAAAGATACAAAACCCAACAATTCAATGGGAGAAAAAACAGTATTATTTTGAACTTATACAGCTTCAGTGACAGGAATATAGCTAACAGTAAATATCTATTATAGCTGAATATTAAAATCCTAGCTGAGAGAAATTAGGTTTCTTTGCTACATTAATTAATTGTTACATTAAGCAATCTCGTCACTATTTTTACTGTTATTTACTACTGAAGCTACTAATATCATTAACTGATACTGCAGTTTTAAAGCAGCAGGATGCAGTAGGAGAATGGTATCTGTCTCAGAACCCATTAGTATGAGGTGAAGAAAATACTACAAGTTATTCAGTGACCTCAGGGGATGCAGAGAACTTCCATGACTCATATCAGTATATATATATGTAAGGTTTCAAAACCATAGATACACTCTCTCAGGTATTAAAGCATATATATGTCTACTTTAAACCATAAATTCCATGACAAATAATAGATATGAGCCTCAACTCTATGCTAGACTTGAACCTTAAAGACTATGGGGTGAAGCAGCATTTGAAAAATGGCTAAACTGATAAATGAATACACATATAGAGAAAAGTCATTGCAAATCCAAAGAATTGCTATAGTAGCCTACATTTTAAGCATCTGGTAGATTTAAGAAATATACTTCAAATCTTATTTCAGTTGGAAGGGACCTACAACGATCGTCTAGTACTCTGCTAAATAGCTCCCTGAATAGCTTAAAGTTCACTCTCCTGAAATCCAGTGTAGCAACTTTGCTGTCCTTTTTTCTCATTACAGTGAAAATTTTAAAGTCAACCATTTCATGATCATATGGCCAAGACAGCTACCTTTAAGAATAGTGAATCAAAACAAGTGCTTCTGTTGTTGCTTTCTTCTAGTACCTGAGAACATGTAAAATGTCTGGGCTATGAAGCTAGAAGAATATGCTAAAGTGAAGGGATTGTATTATATTCT